CCAGTTTGATTCCTGGTCAGGGCACATGCTTGGGTTGCGGGTTTGATCCATAGACAGGGTGTATGGGAGGAAGCTGATCAATGTTTCTATCTCCCTTCCTCTCTCTAAAATCAATAAAACATATTTTTTTAAAAAAAAGGATATTAATAATGTTTTGCAATTATAAAAAAAAGTACATGTACACTGTGTTCAAATTATACAGAAGTATAAAAAGTCATCATCTTTCACTCTGTAAAATCTATCATGGAAATATAATATATTGTTAAATTTATAAGCATTACATATATTTATTACATATAAATATATTACATATTTATTCTGTATAAAAATATATATAAGAAATACATATTCTCAGAACAAAGAACAAACCTTACCACAAAAGGACAGGTGGCAACCTTACCTAGCCATTTTGGGAACCACTGGCTTAGATGACCTTCTACATCTAATTCCATGATATCCTCAGCATTTACATGCTTTCATTATCACCCCTAACCTATATATTTAAAAAGACAATTAGGAATCATTTTTAACATCTCCTTGGATAGAAAATCGTAGATTATTAAGTGCTTTTTCAGTTCTTCTGTCTGCTTTGCTGCATAAGTTCATATCTGTCCTCTATTAATCATTCTCATTCATTTCCTACATCAGGGTTTTACCCTGGGATCCATAGACTTCAGGGTATTCATGACACCACGAAAATCTATGTGATATTTTGCATATTTACTGTTTTTTCTGGGAGAAGGGTTTATAACTTCCTATGATCTAAAAAAAAGTTGGAATCTATTGCTCTGGAAAAGTTTTTTGCTTTATATATTATTAGCTTTGAAGTCCCTTACAATGCTTTTCTCTGGGTGGGGGGCATCTAATTTCTGGTTTGCATTTGACAGCTGCATGCCTCAGTTCCTTGTTCTCACCATGATCATCTTTCAATTAAAAACAAAGAACATTCTCCTCTATCAATCAGTCACATGGTATTTTAAATATTTTCATTTCTTTGTATTTTCTTGAAGTACAAGAAGATAGCAAAAGGCACAGAGTAGGACCCACATCGAAACTGACAAGGAGGGAGACAAGCAGCTAGAGAAGGCAAGACACACAGGTACAAATAAAAGGCCTAAGGACCGACAGACTAGACAGGTAAAATAAGTATAGAGGAACCTAGAAACACAGAGAGACACAAGAATGGAGCAGATAGAGAAGGATGGCAGAAAAACAGACAGGTTGGCCAGAAAATAAAGGAGCTGACTGACAGAGAGGCAGGTAAGATCACCAACAGGAACAGAACAAACAGAAAGGAGTAGAGAGAAGGCAGGCACAGAAAGGAAGAAAACAATAAGGAAAGAAAAAAGACAATGTGGTAATGTTTTATACTACCCAGGGCTTTAGAATTTATAAAGTGCTATCACATACATTATTGGAGGCAGACAGGGAGAATCAAACAGACAGATGGGGTGATGGGGGGATAGAAGCCAATCAGACAGAAGAGAGGGAAGGTGGCCAATCAGAAAGAGAGGCTATAATGGAGCCCAAGACAGATAGTTAAGAGGAAAGATAGAACCAAGAAAAGAGAAGTGAGAGGGAAGGACAGGAGACACAGATATGGAGGCTGAAACCGTTAAATTCAGGAATACAGGCAGTAAAAAAGCAGAAATGAAAGAACAGAGCATTGTATATAAAAGTTTTATCATCTTTCTGAAGGAACCTGGATAGGGGCTGTATCTTTGTTTCTCCCACGGAGTTATAACACCTCCAAGGTGGCATGTGAGAGGAGTCTAAGGGAGGATGAAAAGGGAAAAAAGTTTTGGTAAGAAGCAGTTTTTTAGACTAGGAAGAAGACAGACTTTTTGGACAGGCCTAGGTCAATAGCCAAAGGGTGCTACTGAGTCTAAAAGGATCTAGATTCATGCCCTAGCTGGTATGCTCAATGGTTAGTGTCGGCTAACGGACCAAAGGGTCTCAGGTTCTATTCTAGGTCCAGCCCCAATTGGGTTCGATGTTTTTCTCTCTCTGCCTTCCCTCCCTCCCTCCCTTCCACGCTCTCTAAAAATCAATAGAAAAATATCCTCGGCTGAGTATTAACAAAAAATAAAATAAAAGGCTTTAGTTTAGATCAGTGGTTCTCAACCTTCCTAATGCCGTGACCCTTTAATATAGTTCCTCATGTTGTGGTGACCCCCACCCATAAAATTATTTGCTACTTCACAACTGTAATTTTGCTACTGTTACGAATTGCCATCAGAAATATGAGTTTTCCGATGGTCTTAGGCGACCCCTGTGAAAGGGTCGTTTGACCCCCAAAGGGGTCGCGACCCACAGGTTGAGAACTGCTGCTCTAGATTCCTATACCTTTAAATAATTCATATTAATTTGGGAAAGGCAGAGTGGACCTGTATCTACTCTATGTGCATGTAAGCTCAGCTTACAAACTGTCTGTACTTATTAAATTGTACCCATATTTGTATGGTATTTTTCAGTACTACCAGTGCTTTTCTCAATTAATATATACTTTAGTGATGAATAGACCAGCAGAGGTGGACTATCACCAAGATAAATTATGCAGAGTAGAATAGGAGAGTAGGAGAGAGCAAGCCCTTCCTAAGAGCTCCTCAGGTACTGGTAGTAAAAGCATGCAACTAGCAACCAGTCAATCAAAAAGACAAGTGCCATAAAATAGAATAAAAAAGACAAGAGACAAGTGATGGAAAGCACAAGTAAAGTAGGAAGGAATACTGACAGACTAACAGAGGAAGAAGCATTCAGCAGAACTAGGAGAGAAGTAGGAAGGAGTGCAGCAAAAAGCAAGATGATAGCTCTGGCCGGTTTGGCTCAGTGGTTAGAGCGTAGCCTGCGGTCCAGAGAGACCCGTGTTCGGTTCCCGCTAAGGTCCTGTATCTCAGTTGCGGTTTGTCCCCAGCCCTGGTTGGGTGGTGTGGGTGGCAGCCACTCGATGTGTATCTTTCACATCGATATTTCTCTCTCTCCCTCCCACTTTATCTGAACAAAAAATGAAAAAATGTCTTCGGGTGAGGATAAAAAAAAAAAAGGCAAGAAGATATATATATGTACATGTACATAAAATATATAATTTTTTTTCTAGAATATCCAAGAAATGTAAAATAGTGACCAACTCTGAGGAGAGGAACTAAAGACTGGGGGAGAAAGATAGCAAGAGAGGCTTACTCTTCACAGGACACTTTTAGTACATAAAACATTTTGTACCATGTGTATGTACTATCTATTTAATGGTTGATTAAAAAAATAAGAAAAAGGAAAGCAAGCCGAGATGTGGAGAGCAGAGCCAGCAAAAAGACAGGAAGACCAGGAGAGACTGGGAAAATGGCAATAGACTGAGGCCGGCAGACTATCTGAGAAACCAGAAAGACAGAAAGAAAAAGAGACAAATGAAATGAAGGTAAGCAGTGAGAGAAGGCAAGGTAAGGAATATGGCAAGAAGGCAGATAAGACTTTGGGACAAGGGGTTCACTGAGAGGTTTGGGGTAGAGAGCCTATCACCAATGATGGGATGTTGAGATACAGGAAGCCAAGGGAGAAAAAGCTGATAAGCAGATAGACTAAAAAGATAAAGCATTAAACAGTGGCATAGCAGCAAGCAAGTAGGGTAGACAGGCAAGGAAACAGACATAAAGGGAGGCAAGAAAAAATTATGAACTTAACAGGCGTAAATAAGAGGAGGAACAAGTAGAAGGGTAAGATAAGAGACAAACCAAGACAGGGAACCATGGCAAGGCCTGGAAGGTAGACAAACGAAGGCTAAAAAAGTGATAGAGACAGGCAGTCGGGGAGACAGATGGCTAGAGAGAGAGTGGTGGGCAACCAGCCAGAGAAGCAGACAGACAACCAGGGAGAGAAAGAGGCTGGCAGCCAGTCAGGGAGGAGCAGACCGGCAGGCAGGCAGACAGACACCATAATAGGAGTAAGCAGGTAGAGAGACAGGCGGAAACAAGGATAGAAGAAGAAAATCAAGAAGTCAGTAGGGAGAGAAGAGAACAGGAGAAGGAGGCAGGCAGAAGGGGAGATGGACAAGAGGAAGAATCAGGCAAATTAACAGATCTATGTGCAAAGCACACTTACGAGAATGATGTTTGTACAGGGATGCACAGAGCCACCTTTAGTCACCCACACCTGCAGCTCATGGCACATGTGGCAGGCAGGCAGAAACACTCAGCACAGAGGGAGAGGGCAGAGAGACTGTGGTGCACATAATGTGTAGGGCTGTCAATAGACACATGAGGACACTCTTCCCAGACACACACAGAGGGGCCAGAAAGAGGGGGAGTCAGGCACACATGAGGAACAGACACATGCAGTAAGATCCTGGAAGACAGAAGTAAACAGAAAGAAGACAGGCATGAATAGTTACTTAAAGGTGATACAGCCTGAGAGTCAAAGAAATTAGTGAAATGTAAAGTCTCAGTGAAAAATAAAGACACATACAGAGAAGCCCATATACAGAAAAAAAAAGGAATACCCAGATCTGGGACAAGGAGGAAGAGAGACTGAGCAAGAGGACAGAATACAATCAAATGGAAGAGGGACAGGAGTTAGACTCATACAAGAATGATATGGGAGCAGAGGCAAGAGAATTTCAAAGGCCCGGTTAAGAAAAAGATGGAAATCAATGCTCAATAAAGTATAGAGGTAGGGAAATAACCCAGAAGAGAAATGATTCCACAAATATAGGATAGGAAGCAAGGAAAGGGGCAAAATGAGATAAAAAGAATAAGAGGAAACTAGCATAAGAGAAGGGTGGCAAGAACAAAAAAAGGTAGAACTGAGCAATTCGCCCTTTCTTGGCTAGCATTGCTCAACTGGCAAATTTTATTTTACAACTTTTCTGATCAAGTCTCTGGATGAGAAAGCTACTTTTTGACTCCTTTTCAATCTTCCACTTGATTCCTGGTACCACTTTTAAGATAAACACTGGGTGCAGTTGAAAATCAAGGTCAGAGTCAGATGAAAATGTGAGTGTAATCTCCTACCTCTTTCTTTTTCTCAGTTCCAGTTACTTTTCTCTTTCATGGTACCTCAGTTTCTTCCACTTTATCAGTGTTGGAGATCATGGAGAAAGGGAAATGTACTGAAATAGGAGAAAAAAGAAAATCATTTCACAATCTTCAGAGTTGACTCTTTCCCCTTTATTCTAAAAATCTGTTCTATTTACCCCTCAATTAATTTTCAAAGTCAGATGAATTTTATATTCAAGCAATTGGGGAAGGGAAGGACAAGGTAAAGGAGCAGAGTGAAGATAAAATATACAATTATTAATCACTGAAAAGGCTGAGCAAAGGGGAGAATCAAACATGGACTCCTTTGGAAAAAACTCAATCATTGTATCTATTCATATCTTTCCCCCAAAGTCACTAGGGTGTCTACCACTTTTTTAAAGAAAAAAAAAATTCAGTATCACTTCTCACTTAAAAGATACATACACAATTAAATGCGTTTTGACTTCAATGAGGTATGCAGAAACAGAGTTATATATAAACATATATTTCATCTTTTTCCTTTTCAATGCCTGAAGGGGAAAAAAAACCCTTCACATCAAACCACTCCCTTCTGAAGTATTCAGAAAAAAAAAAAAGCGCTTTTCTTTAGAGAAGGGAGGTGGGGAGGAAGAGACTAGTAAAGAAAAGAAAAAATTAAATGTAGTTGGACTAGTATCTAACTAGTTAACCTTTAACAATTTATGCTGATGTCAGACTGAGCATGAGTACTGATTAATGCCCCCCCTCAAATATTTTTTATAAGGGGGAGTTAGTCACAGCAGCCATTTTTGTTTTATGCAGAAATCCTTCATGCCCCCCCCACGCACACACTCACACACACTCAGTACACAAGGAAAATATCTCTATTAATCTGTGCACTAATCAGTTATGAAAAAAGGGAGAAATTTGTGGGTTTCTGGGTAGAGGCTTGGAGATAGGGGTGTAACAGGGAGGAGAATGGGGTAGGGGGTGAAAAATGAAATAATAAGCCAGCCATTTTGTTTTAAAAGGGGATTTTCCCCCCTCTCCCTTTCTTCATGGAGGGGGTGGCGGTGCTGGAGGGGGGGTTGTTTTAAAAATAATTTCAAGGCGGCCATCTTAGTGCCTCAGCTCTGAGAAATATTTCTGAGCGCCCCCCTCAGAATTTAAATATATTTAAAGTAACGGAGAGGGGGGTAGAGAGAAGTCAAAAACTTTTATATATATATATATATATATACATATACACATACACACACACACACACATATATATATATATATATATATATTTTAATCTCCCCTTTCTTGTTCTCTTGGAAGGAGAGAAAGAAAAAAAGTCTCTCCTCAATTTATTCCAAGAAAAATTTTAGGGGTGGTTTGGCCCCCCTCCTCAGACAGCGGCCCCGAGGGTGGGGGTTTTGGAGGGGGGTGGCCCGGGGGTTTGGGGGGCTGGGGGAGGCTGTGAGGAGGAGGACGCCGCCGCCGAGGAGGAGGAGGAGGAGGAGGAGGAGGAGGAGGAGGTGGTGGTGGTAGCGGTGGGGGAGGCGGGCGGGCGGTGGGTGGGGGGGTGGTGGGGGGGCCAGAGCCACAGGATGGCTTCCCCTCTGAGGGACGAGGAGGAGGAGGAGGAGGAGATGGTGGTGTCGGAGGAGGAAGAAGAGGAGGAAGATGAGGGCGACGAAGAGGAGGAGGAGGTGGAGGCGGCCGACGATGACTATGAGGACGACGACGAGGGAATACTCGGGCGCGGGCCGGGCCACGACCGGAGCCGCGACCGCGACCGCCACAGCCCCCCCGACTGCCACCTCTTCCCGCCGCCGCCGCCGCCCCCGCCGCCGCCCCCGCCACCAGGTAAGCGGCCGCCCTGACTCACCCCCACCCCAGCCCGAGTGGGAGCTGCCGGCGCGCGGGGCCGGGTGGGGGCGAGGCACCCACCGCGGGGCCGAACCAAGGCGAATCCGGGGTGCGGAACGCCGTCTCGGGCCCGTCGCCCCGCGGCGGTCCCAGCGGTCCGGGCCGCCGCCGCGGGGCCAGGCCTCCTCCCCTCCCCCGCCGCACCCCTCCCCCGCCGCCGCCGCCGCCACCACCGCCGCCGCCGCCGCTGCCGCCCGGGCTGGAGAGCGCTGGGCGCGAGCTGCGCGCGCGGACCGGGCCACTCGGTCGCAGCTTTCAGGGGAGGAGGAGGAGGAGATATATTTTTTTTATCCTCGGCGGGGAGGGGGTAGGCAGGAAACGGCCGAGGCGAAGCCAGGGCCCCCTCCCTGGCCGAGCGAGGGACCACGGAGACCCTGGCGGCCGGACGGCGTCGTGGGGGAGGGGCGCGTGGGGGAGGGGCGGCCGCGCGGGCACCCCTCGGGCTCCGACCCGGGTGAGGTTGGACTGAGGTACAGTGGGTTTTCTGCGTGTGGAGCGGACCGCGACTTTAACCCTCACCCCTCAGGAGTCGGGAAGGAGGCGCGGGGGGGCGGTGTCCATCGGACTCCCACCTCGGGGACTTCAGTGCCCGCCAACTCTGGGCGTGCGGTGGGGGAGGGGTCGTGTGAATGTTTGTGGGCGGCTGAGGACTAGGGGCAGGTGGTGGCCACACTCCACGCCGACCACTTCCTGGAATCGCTTGCTCTTACCCCGGTTCCCCACAGCTCGTCATAGGGAGAGCAGGCACTTAGAATAGGGGAGCGAGAGGCGAGGGTCTGGGAAACCAGATGCCCCCAATTCCACCTCCTTTATCTCTCCTTTGCTCTGGGCTCATTGTGTCAAGTGGCATCCCCCCCCCCCCCCCCGTGACCCTGTCAGTCTGAGGTGGCCCAGCTGCTTAGCTGTGACTCTCACGTGGCTGCCATTCACTGTCACTCTCGCTGAAACCACCCACACCCTGACCACGTTGGGGGGCTGAACTGCCCACCCAGCTGTTCTGCTGCTTGACCATCACTCAACACCCTTCCCCCGATGATGACAAGTCACCAGCACTCTCTGGGCAGTTTCTCCAGTTGTGGAGGAGAGACCGCCGCCTTGCACCGGGGGCCCAGTAATGGCCCCACTCAGACCATCCTAGTGGAATTATTTCTAGTCTTCAGGGTAGGTGAGCAGCTTTAGTGTGTTCACCCTCTCTGCTTGGGTAATGGAAAGGGATATCCATACCCCCAAGCCTCTGGGTACCATGCAGCACAAATGCACCAAACTTCAAAACGTCATGTTCTTTGTAAAACTGTCATATTGATCTGTGTGGCTTATGTCGCAAACGTTCTTTGAGGAAGTGTGGGGTTCTTTATTAGGAGGGCAGGAGGATGCATGTCTGATGGAAATAGGATAAAGCCCCCTGCACTACCCCCAGGCTTCTCTAAAAAAGGGAAAAGTTTTTAGAAAGTTATCCCTGTGAGCCCATTGATTTGCAGGAGGGAAACGAAATAAAGAATGGTGGGGAGGGAGGGTGCCAGGAAAACAGCCCGAAGGGCTAAAAAGAGGGAAAGAAAGGATGTCGGGTTATGTTAAGGGATTGGCAGCTGTCACCTATTTGCATTTCGAACTTGGAATGTGGTATTTGGGTGTTTTTGATCCCACGTTTAGGTATGTGAGAAAGGAGCATGAAAGAATCTGAGGTTGAGATGGGTCTTTGTGTCAATACTCCCTCCCCTTTTTCTCTTTGCTTTCTGAATAGACCAGAAGAAATTTCAAATGTTTTTTAAATTCTTTATTTGAAATGAAAACCCACCTCCTGTGTTTCTCAAGGCAATTTTATCTCCCTTTCAGGCCTCCAAGTCAAATGAGTGACCCAGATACACCCCCTTAGATGACCTTCTGGGTAAAACTTTGGGAAAATATTTTTAGTCTGCTCATTATAACCCTTCTTTAAGGAAATTTGCTCAGGCTGCCTTCCTTCATCTTTTCTAAAATATGAATTTGTGCATATTAGAGGTTTCTATTATTTTTCATTCTGACTGCTTTGATTCTCACCATTTTGTTTTACATTCTTACCAAGACCAATTTTATCCCTTCCCCCATCTCCAGTCTCCTTACATTGTTAAACGTTTAAAATAATAGCACTCGTATTGATGGGGGAAGGGAGCAGGAAGCCCAAAACTCATTTCTTCTCCCTCCCCCTTCTGGCAAGTCTAGAGAAATAATATAACATAATATATAGATGTGATGCCTTGGGGGTGGGGGTGGGGGTGGGGAATGATTGTGGGTGGTGCGGAAAATTCTGGTAGTTTCTTTGCAAAGGTCTGAAGATACAAACCCACCCCCTCCATGCAATACGCATGTGCAGCAGACCTATTATGGTGGTTCGTTGTGGGGGAGGGAGGGGAATTTGAGAAAAAAATAAATATATGTGTGAGAGATTGATGGTGAGATTAGAAGAAGAGAGGGGAGGGCGGGTGAGAGGCGAGGCTTGCTGGGAGACTCCTCCTGCTTTCTCTGGCTGCCAGGCTCCGCCCTTAGCTCCTCGCCTGCCCTCCTCCTTCTCCCGCGGTCTGAGCTGGGGATGTGGGAGAGCCTGGGCTCCAGGCCAGCATTGAGTGGCTGGTGAGACAGAGGTTGGGATTTAGATTTCCCTTATTGCCCTCCCTTTCCTTTCCTTAGCCTCTGCCCACCACCGTCGTCTTCCCAAGTTCGGAAACCTGCTGGGGTGGGGATTGGATTTAACTGGCTTCAGATCCCAGAGCTTGTGCCCCACCCCAAGCTGGTGGTGACCCAGGCAGTTTCCCTGATCCTTAGCCAGTTGGCCTGCTCTTGTCACTCTCTCGGCAGCCCTGTTTCCATGTTCATATTAATCTAAGTCCCTGGGGTTAGAGAGAGCTGGCTGCTGAGGCATGGTGTCTTACTGACTTCGTATTTCCTATTACAGTTTTCATTCTGCTTTCTGCAGGCACCCCCCGCCCCCATTCCTAGAGTGTCTTTCTGCAGGAGAGGACACAGGATGCAGGAGTTATGAGTAGCATTGAAGGGGTTCTGAGGCAATGGAAACTGAGACCTCCAGTGTTAATTGTGGCTAATTTTCCCTTGGCTGTTGTGGGAGGAAGGATTGTGTGTTCTAGAGCAAGGGGCTGGGCCAAGCCCAGGCTTTCCCCTCCTGCATAGCCACCTCTGCCTGAGCAAGACAGGTCTGGCTGGTTAGTCTAGTGCTTGCTGTGGGAGGGAAGCCAATCAGGGCTCCATGCCTGTGTGGCATCAGTGTCTTTCTCTGCATGGAATAACTCTCTGTCTCTAAGCCTCCATAAACTGGAAGGGGTCATGGAGAATGGGGCAGGGAGGACATCAAGAACCAACCCCAGTCTCTCTGACAGACGTTTGGAGAGACAGTTAGGGACCTAGCTCTGCTGAAAGCAGGTATAGGCTGTCCTCAATTTGTGCTCATGAGTATGAGTATATGCTTATGCATTTGGGAATACATATGCAGGGTGTGCCTGTGTCTGTATCTTTGTCTCAGTCTACCATACTGCTTATTTATGAATGGTCAGGATGTTTGGAACTAAATTTGGAAATGAAGGGTGAGACCAAGGGACAAAGGATAGGGCCTCAAAGTTCTCAAAGGGAGCAGGGATATAGAAATAGATGTGAAGGCAGATTCTAGGCTACTTGAAAGGAGGAAGAATTTTTAGGTAATTGTGGAGACTTTCTTCTATAGGGTTAGGGTGTGATGAAGGAACCAGACATGATCCTGTGAACCAGAAGTGAAAGTAACCAGCCAATAATTTCTTTTCTTCTGGGCTGTGTTGGGGTGACAGGAGGCTGGGTGATCATCTGCAGAAATATAGAGGCCTCCCTCATTACAAAAAGGATGTCAGGGCCCCAGAGTGTTGGTGTAAGGACCCAGGTGTCCACCTTTGGCTCTCCCTTCTCAGCATCTGGCTTAGGGAGCTGCCAGCTTGTGTCTCCCCACTCCAAGTGCTGGGGTCAGGCCAGGCCAGCAGCTGGGCATGGCTTCCCCAGTTCCTGGGCAGGATGCCAGCTGGCTAAGTGAAGTTTGGGAAGGCAGGAGGAACCCTGGCGGCGACTGAAAGGATCTGCCACAGTCAGAGCCCATGACCTAGAGCCTGGTCCCTTGTTAGTAAGAGAGGAGAGAAGGGAGTGGTTTGGCTGCTCTTCCCTTCTGACCCTTGACCTCCCATTCAGAACCAGAGCATCACAGAGTATTTGAAAGACTCAGTATCCAGTGAAGGGCGTCAGGATTTGGAGGAGTTAATACCAGAGTTCCTAGAGAGTGGGAAGTAGGAACCGAGGGAGTAAGGAAGGAGTGAGGTTGAGGGGCTGCATAGACTGGGAACCTAGAAGCTTAGGTTTTCTGGTGTTCTCTGCTCTATAGATAAGGATGACATTCGGCTGCTGCCTTCAGCATTGGGTGTGAAGAAGAGAAAACGAGGACCCAAGAAGCAGAAGGAGAACAAGCCAGGAAAGCCCCGAAAACGCAAGAAGCTTGTAAGTGTTTAAAGACTCCTGTCTCTAAATGGACCTAAATGGTTTCTGGTTCTGACTTCCTGTCACTTACCTCTTGCTGGCCTGTACCTCATGTATCTAGGACCCAAATATCACTCACCACAACCTAATGAAGAGCCCAGTTTTCTATGTGATTTGCCTCAGCAGCAGAGAGAAGCAGTTGAAAGCACAGGCTCTGGAGGTGGACTGCATGAATTTGGAGCCCAGCAGTTCCCTGTCTTCCTTGGCAATTTATTTATCTTTCTGTGCCTCAGTTTCTTCATCTGCAAAAAGAAAATCATGGATAAAAATAGATTAGTTGTTATCTCATAGGACTGTTGTGAAGATTATAAGAGATAATATGTGTTATGTAGTAAGAACAGTTCCTGGCACATGGTAGGCTGAAGAAATGTTATTTTTATTTCTCTCCCTTAGGACAGTGAAGAGGAATTTGGCTCTGAGCGAGATGAGTACCGGGAGAAGTCAGAGAGTGGAGGCAGTGAATATGGAACTGGACCAGGTCGGAAGCGGAGACGAAAGCACCGAGAAAAAAAGGAGAAGAAGACAAAGCGGAGGAAAAAAGGGG